CGCGGCTGGGCTTATTAGCCGTGGGCTTAATAGCCGGCGACTACTGTAGTAGCATTCTGTAGTAACTTAAAATGAGCCTTTGGTTCAAAGGGCATTCACCATAAACGAAAAGACTCGTTGTGATGGCGAGCAATGCTTTTTTCACCTTTCAAATTAAATATAATTCTGACTAATTGTACGACGCCTACACGTTCGGCCTCGGAAGACCGAAACCGATGAACTACAGAAGAATGCTCTGCCATAAAACAATGACGTACCAAAAGCTGCAATGCGCAGCAGGGTAATGCTAATAAATGACAGGCTGAATTTCAATGAACAACCTGAGAAAGTTTATCAAAATCCATGCTTAAGCCGTCCTTGGACCTGAACGGGCCAATCCGAACGAATGCTCGGATCGCGCATACGTTAATTTTAACGTGCGGTACGACTAGGCGACGAATTATCACAAGTTGTAGTGCATACATATAAAAGTAGCAATGAGTTCAAAGTTGCGGCCGTCCGGTTATTCACCCAGGACGGAAACAAGATAGGCCGGGGATTGAGCATGTTGTCTCATTTGTTGCAATACAGAACCGCGAAGTCAAACGGTTACATCAAAGGCGTGTTTCCACCCATAAAATTGATTCGTGAAGATGCAGTAAGGTGTATTCTGCTGTCCATAGGAAAGGATAAAATTCCGATATAATCGTGCATTTTGGAAGAAATCACCCTCCGCTCCCAAAATAAGCTGCTTGCGGAGTCCGTCTTATCGAGCTTGCAACCTATACATCAGCCACTATGTACTTAAGAAATAACTAACATCCCGTTTCGCATGCTTCTATCGATAGCATTTCAGATCAGCTCTGCAAAGAACTGCCTTAGGCGTCAGGCACAGCCGCAAGGCACCATCCAAACCGAGCTGACAACCATCGGTTGTGAAAAAGGGATTTAGGTATTTCGCCCTCAGACCACTGGACCTCGTGTTAGTATGAATTCATGTTCCTATTTTACTTACCAGTGCATGCAGAGCCTTCAGTTCTTGACGATGGTGCAAGTAACGAAGGGGAATCCCCGCAGCCGTAGAGATAACGACAAGTACGAGAACAGAAATTTGGAGACCTGCACTGGAGGTCGTATTTGCGGCACCGACAGTCTGGGAGCGACTGAGCCAACAAGAAAAGAAAACGCTCAAGCAGAGGGTCCACATACATAAGCACCTTAAAAGTACAGGTCCTTACATGTAGTTTATTGTGAAGGAAACGTCGAAAATGAGGGTGACAGTTTCCAAAAGCCGTGGACAACATTCTCCTTCGATCGCTTGGACCTCTTTTCGTGACCCCAGGTCACGGCAACATCAGTTAGCGCAGTCAGGCAGACTTGAATTAGCAAGACATAGAGCAGATGCAGGAAGCCAACCGATGCAACAAACACGCCAACGGCTAGCAGACGTCCGGTGAGCAGGAAGAGATTGTATAGGTAGTACAGAAGTGTAGATAGCTGCAGAAGCTCACAAGGAGAGGCGTAGAAGATACGCTTGCGGAGTTGGAACCAGAGTTTCGAAGCTAACCAGGACACCGAGAATAAGGAGAATACGGAGGAAATGACGGTGGAGCTATCTGAAATGGAAGAAACACCCTCAGAGTAATTGCATGACTTTGTATCCTTCGCATATCTTTATGTCAGCAGGGTACGCCGTGGCGTAGACACATCACAAGATACTTGAGCGTAAAGTAGTTTACATTGAGAAGAGGTACACAGCATGGAACACAGTTTCTCCTCACGGAATCATGTCGATCCGGCAGCAAGACAAAGCTGCGATCGGGTTCAGTGGTTACTACCCCTGAAGGTGCTAGTGGTCGCACCGTCGAAAAGTTAAATCATTGTAGGCTGATAGTACTACTGGCAAAGACGATGGAGACTAAAATGGCCATTTCTGGCTTATTAGCCGTTTTCAGCCAGTCATAATCAGATCAAAGTGGCGTCATAAATGAGCCTTGAACTCGCGACCAATTTGAGCAGAGCGAAACGTCCTAACCATTGAGCCAGGAGCACGTTTGTTTGCCAGATTATGTCGACGGATTTTGAAAATCATTGCAGAAAATTCAGCCGACTGCCCTTTCTTTGCCGGTGATACTGTGTGCCTACATGCTCTCAAGGTTTGCCATTTTCCAAGGTTGCCAACGCTTTTCATAAATGTCAAAACCATCAAACAGTCAATGAAGCGGCTTTCGTAGTACAGCCACCTATTTGACTTGTTTTTGCGGTAGCTTTATTTACTAGGCTTCTGCCTGTCTTTTTAAGAATGCTTAAGCCTTCTCTTATCGACACCCCCCCCAATTACAGAAAGATACATCAAGATTTCGCTCTAAGTCAAATCACCATTGATCGGACCAGCAAAAAGCGCGCCTGCTTTTTGATCAGTTTGAAGTCACGTTTGAATGTTCTTCTTCCTATCCATACCGTGCCATGCGCAAATACCGCAAATACCAGCCTTCCCTTATCGACTCAACCGCCCCCGACATTTCCCGCCATTCTTTTGTACAACAACACGAAAACGTTTGAACTCATATCCCGTTTCCATATAAATGTACAGGCCCAGTGAGAATCTCTCCTCAATTTATTTAAATAATCATGTATCATTAATATTTTGGCAATCCCAACAGCAAATCAATCGGCAGATCAGACTCAAATTTCTAAACAAAAATAACCTTTCAATTAGCAACAAACATTTTGAGGGGATGCAGAATTCGTAAAAATAAACTCTCAACCAAATGAATGCCAAATTTGTGCGCAATTTCTATGAGACCTGTCTTGTTCCACATACTGATTATTTTGCCCGAGCCTTATATACAATGCTTTGTAGTGTGTAGAATATCGTACAAAAATATCCGGCAGAGGTAGTTTAAATACTGCACCTCAAATATTTCAGCATATTGTCCTATAGGAATGGTAGTTATGTGGGTTTTAGTGGCGGGGAAATAGAATAGGCCGTGAAGGAAATTTGTTGGAGTTAATGTAAAGTGGAAAAATGTAGGTGAATTCGTTTCCCGCGGCTGCTGGGATGACGTTATTCCGCATGTAGGATTAGGGTGTGAGCGGCGCTTCGTGCCGCGGACTTTCCTATTGCATCTCCTGAACGGTTAGTTGGACCGCAGGTAAGGTGAACTAGACGACCTTCTTACAAGCACTTCTTTCTTTTCAGGGATTTCTAGAATCCTGCATTTTAATAACCGAATTTTTCCGCAATAAGTTAAACGATAATAGAGTTAAGGAAAACCTACAGATATAAATCAACAAAATTGTTAAGTACAATAAAATGCATAGAGCAGTCATTTAAGTGTATGCTACTGCCTTGTAAAATTTTCCACCCGTAAAACCCCTATAATCTCCGTTTCCGCAGGACAGATGCTGGAATTAGGGGGTTAATGAGGTACACTACTTTAAGTACTGTGGCCAGTTATCGTTCTTTCAGGCAGTTCATTGTTCAGTGATTTTTCTGGGAGCGTATTAGTAATGCCTACCTGTTTCTCAGCGGCCAAAGGGTAGGGAGCCTTCAGACAAGAAGAAAGGGCAGGCGAAGATGTACGTTAAAAGATTTCAATGTCCCGCCTGGCAGTATTAATTTCCTTCGACATTTCCCCTGTGTGAGGATGGAAGAAATAAAGTGGCAGGTCGATTTGAAAAGGCCGCTGATTAACGACCAGTTGCTCGGCGGAGGCCGCTAGAGAGAGCTTCGTTCCCATACTACCTTTCAAACCTCTTCATGCGCTCTGGACGCTTGATAGCCTTTAGCGCAGTTGGTGCGTCAGTCGGATTCATTTACCTGCCGTGTGTCCGGGTCATTAAGGCCTGCATCGCTGTGGTAACTCCTTCGCCGTAAGCTGGGGGCGCGCAGAGAGGCACGAGCTGTCAAAAGAGAATATTGTTGCGCGTCTTTTGGAATCTAGCAGCCTCATGTTTGATGTTCCCTTCACTACAACCTTCATGCGGGTCCTGCGCAACCTGGCTGTTACTGTGTTTGAGGCTCTTCACACCCTCTTCTTGGTCGTTTTCAGTTTTTGTTGGGTTATTTGCTCGCAACCATCCCCTGTCGCAATTACGACCTCAGCCATCTTGGAGACCAGTGCGGGTCTCCAGATTGCTATTCTTGTCCTTTTCATTGTCTCTGCAGCTGTTGGGATTCTGCTGCGTTATTCATACCATCGTCAGGAACTGAAGGATCTGCAAATACTGGCAAGTGAAATAAGAATATTTAAATATATACTTAAAGTTAGGCATTCCAATAAAAATAAGAAGCAGTCGATAAGTCCTTAGCGGAATTAAGATTTGTTGTTTAAATTGTCAAGCCGGTCCCTCAACTACAGAGCGGAGAGGCCAACTACAAATTATTTTACATGGTTATTCCCTCACCTACACACACCCACTCCAAAAGAAATTACAAGGAATCACAATTTTAACTGATGATATAACAAATCCCTTTTAAGTCCTCTCCTTGATCACATCCGTACCACTCGATGTTTACGACAGGACATAGAAGAACTACTGCAGTCCAACACGATGGCTTTCCCTGCAGCTGCCTCATTTACACCTTTGCACTTGGGCTCACATACAACCTTTTCATCTTACAACAAATACTATCAGCATAAAGAGCTTTTTTGCTAAAGTTAAAGAGACTCGAGACTATAGCTATTACTTGTGATGTTTGGAGCGTGAAATTTGGTTTATTGTAGCCAGACTGGACTGTCCGTCACGGCGCGCATTCAGGAACACTTCGACTTTCTCCTTTGGGCAGATCTCTCTCGCACTGAAAACAGCATATTGAAATTCATTTGCCGTATTACGTGTGCTAATTGCCCTAGTGTCTACAAAGGCCATAGAGCTCGAAAACTCGGTACCCGCATAAATGAACATAAGCTGGCCATCCGAAGAGGTGATCAATTGTTTCTAATGTTTGCGCACGCTACTGATTGAACCAACTGGACGAAACTCAAATGGTCGCTAGTGGTCGAAGCCTGGCACATCGGCACGAAAAGCATCATCCGGCCCATTAATTTGCATTCATCGTAAAACCACACGTGTATGTTCTCTGATTCTTCACCCCATCGAAGCGTGAACATAATCTAAACGCACAAGCCCCCTCTCACTTACATCCCCAGCCCCACCCCTGTTTGATGTTACGTATACCTCCAAACACCCTAGTGCGATTACAACAGCCCTTACTTCTCATTTTGTCCGATAACGGTCTGATATATACAGTAGTCGCCAAAGACCATGCAATTTCCATAACTTTGTATAAATTTGATCAT